CACACACACACACACACACACACACACACACACACACACACACACACACTTTCGTACATATAAATGTAAAAAAAGAAAAAAAAGCTGTAGAATTACATAGATTCTTCTTATTAACCCAACAATTGTGGCACAGATTTCTGAATATCATCGCAACGTTCGTTGAGGTCATCCTGTGATAAGAATCGAAACAAAAGAGAAAGAAAAAAGCGACAAGCATAGTTATTATATAAAATGTATATATAGATGTGTACGTTCGTATGTTCGCCTTGAAAACACTTACCGCTTCTAAACCTAAGCAAGCGCCCCACTCGATTAAGGTAATACGATGGTCTTTGTTAGCGTCACACGATTCTAAAAATGGTGCAATACAATGTTCGAGACTAACTAAGGGAGCGCGAATTGGGAAAAGTTCATGACGCGATACGGAACGATCGGTATCGCCATCTAAATCACACCATTTCCAGACGGCAGCATTAGACCATCGTCGAGTCATATTAGTTTCGGCTTCCAATTCCATTTGCATATAATGCTCGGTAAGTTCATCACGTTCGGCCAAATCGCGCATCACATTGAACAACCAATCACGCATGCGACGTGGGAAATCCTTTTCAAAAAATCATTAAAAAATCATTAAATCGATCAGCGAAATCATTACGATTGCAGTTACCTTCATATCTTCTTCGGAGCACGTTTTCTGTTCATGACATTCACCGTAATAGTCAATATGCAAATGTGTATTAAGGGGAGCAAGACAACCGTCAGCTTTGGTATCGCATAGACAACGCTGTTGATAAACTGAGCAATCTGACGGCCACGTTTCATTTTTATTCGTGCATACACGACGTCGTAAATCCGTTTCTTCTGGACATTCTGGAATGCAAACACATTTCGCCTCCATACCATCGAGCTGACATACTCGACCAGCGCCGCAATGTATTTTTTCACATGGATCGACTAATTATAGATAGATAAAATTTTTACCATTTTCCATTTTATTAAACTGACTGACTGAGTGCCAATACTCACTTTCCACTACGGGATTTAAAACGTTATTCTGTAAAGCAGATAATTCCGCTGCCATTTTTGCGGCAATTTCATTTTCTCGTTGCAAATCTTTATTCTGAAAATGTGAAATTTTTGAAATTATTGTATGTGCATTATATTATTGTATGTATATATATATATATAGATATATAGTAACTGTTATTGCGACTTTCTGTCTTACCAAGTTATTCTCTTCCAAAAGTCGTAAAAACTCTTCTTCACTCTCATCCAGATCGGATATATTTAAATCATCCATTAAATCCATGTCTTCTTCTTCTGCTTGCACATTATGAGTAGAAACCAAAAGGCTTAGCACCAAAACTGGCATCCACCACTTCATGATTCCGTAAAGAGATAAATGCAACTGAAATACTGGAATTATGTATCAAATGCTAACTTAAAGAGCCTTTAAAAAAAAAAACAAAATAATACAAAAAAAAAAATTCACGCTAAGCCTGATAAGGGTTTCATTGCGAGTAAGAGAATTGCGAGATAACGCTGGCTTGGAAAGCTAAATAAGAGAAATTTTTAAAAAAATTATTCTCTCTCCCTCTCTCTCTCTCTATCTATCTATCTCTCCCTCTTTTACCTAATTATGTCGTCTTTGAAATCTCATTTAAAGGCACATGTTGAGTGCAAAATAATTAAAACATGTACGAGTTATATTTCGATATATATACATACATATATATATATATATATGTATGCACATATATATGCATGCACTTCCAAAGATGTAAAATCGAAATATAACTCATATGTATATATATATGCACATCTATACACATATACATAGGTGCAACATTCGGCAGTATATGTGACACACAAGTGTAATAAAAGAATATTTATTGTTTCGCATACATTTACATTCAGCTACAAAAACACTAAAAACTATTTTGTATTAAAATTCATTCTTTTTGAAAAATGATCAGAATTTTACCGACATTAGAGACCCCATCATTTGGTTGATTAAATGTTCCAGACATGCATACAATCACACACACACACACATACACACACATGTCTAAATGTATACATTTTTAACAAATTCATTCCCTTAGCGATCTTAATTTCGTATTCGGAAGTCGGTACAAATTGCAAGTGTTCTACTTTAAGCTTCTCGCAGCATAGAAAATATATTTCAGTTTCTATCCAAAGTGAATGGAAATGTCGTATCTAAATTTACATTAGGAAATTACTTTAAAAGTATAACACTCGGAAATCATCTCTAGAAATTATTTCAAAAAAAAAAAAATAGCATATCTCAGCTTCGGTCAATAAATACTGAGATTGGGACAATTATATAACTCTTTGTCAAGTACAATTTGTAATTGTCGAAATAAAATACTCGATGGCAAGCAGCATTCTTGAAATGGAATGCTGTTTACTTTGAAATTTAAACTCGAAAACATTTTCGAAAATATTGAATACAAAATCTTCTTAAAAGTTTCTATAACTAACATATTTTGATTTATTATTAATATTCCCCTTGCTTTGCTTGAGGATTTAAATTCTGAACGAAAAAAAGACTGCAAAGGACCAAAATTTCCAAAAGTATTTAAACCTTTGCGCTCGGAATTTTGTTTTTTTTTTTTTTTTTTACTTTAATTAATAATAATTTTAATAACATAAACTATTTATACGTTGGAGTGGAAGATGGCATATAATGTCGACACATAGTCGACATACGAGTGACAAGGGGTTAATGGCCGTATACTTTTGAAGCGATCGAAGGCCTACATACTGCCTCGATATAATAATCCAATTGGCCAATAATCTCTCAAAATGACTTCAAAACCAAAATGTGGGGCCAAAGTTAATTAAAAATGAATGCTATTTGGGCGATATTGGGCTTTGAGACAGGCAGGTTCGCTAAAATTGTTGTCTAGAAATTTTATTATTTCGGTATTGTTGTATATATACAATCGCTTTGCAGCGTTCGAACTTTCGTCCTTTCATAAATTGAATATAATCGCAAGTGCTTATCAAGGATACTTAAATGTTCTACGCGACAGCTTGTTTTTAATTTATCCAAAGACAACGAAAAGTGTAACCAGTATTCACATATTTATAAAAGTTCCAATAATAGTCGCTGTCTATACAAAAATTAATTTTCTATTTCCTAAGCTTAGTAGTAATTGAAAATCCTTGGGCGAGTACATCTATATAGCACGCACGTATAGTAGACTTTTTTGCATATATGGATCTTAATAGAAAACAAGTAAAAACACTAGAGTGGACCACAGCCCCTATAATGCCTTCCAGTTATTTATATAACGAGTTTTCGAAAAAAAAAGGCAAGTGATCGAGAAAAATGGGTCAAAACTTGTCAGTGCACGAAATCTTAAGTAAAATTTATAAAAAATTGCGGCCACAACAAGATGAACATGAAAATACTCTGAAAGAAATAGAGAGACAAGTTCTGAATCATCCGCCATAATTAAAGACGGGTCTATTTGAAGTTCTTCTAGATGTTGCATACATTCACACAAACTTAATCTGCTCTTGTACAATATACACAAGTGACGTACGTAGGGCATAAAAAGATGACTACGGAGTGCAGTATTATTCTTTAATGTTCTCAATACTTCTCAAAAGTCGAAGTCTAAAAATTTCAAACAAATCTTTTTATTTGCTGCGCATACACATACATAGATATGTACGTACGTGTATATATGATGAAAAGATGTTTGCATCATAAATTCTCAGAATATTTATGTTTAGAGAAAGAGAATTAAAAGTACATTTTTCATTTTGATGTTTAAATTAAAAAAAAAAAAAAAAAAAAAAAAATATCAAGTAAAAACACTATATTCGGTCGTGACAGAATCCTTTATACCCCTTTTTTACAACGTTGCCTTGAAAGAGATTTCAAAAAATTAGAAAAAAAACTAAATTTTCATACCCTATAATATTGGGTTGGCGCAGCTGATTTTTTCTGTTCACAAAATAAAAGTTTTCGTCGTATAGGCGCGTGGACGTTGCAGGCAAGCCCTTTGGAAAATTTCATCTCAGTTTTGTTTCAGAAGAGTACATTTTCGTATTCTTTTGCAAATTCATAGGTGAACGGGAGAATATTTACCAGACATAATACAAAGTTGGACTGACGAACAGACATATTTTAGTGCATGTTAGTCAAATTTGAAACTGGCCAAGAATTTATATATTTTACGGCGCTTTTGAAGATTGCTTCAGGGCTTTATAAAGGTATTAAAAAGATAATTAAGTTTTGATAACCTATCCTATAGGGTAGGCGTGGTTAATTTGCCCAATTTTTTTACATGCCCTACACCAAGCTCCATAGAGTCTACATTTAAATTTTTATAGATTTATCTGTTTTTATAGATTTATCAGTGAGCAAAAAATCAGAGGTGTTTTCAGTTTTCGTGATACCCTAGCCGTGTCCTTCGATCGATTTGCCCAATTTTCAATACCAGCCTGTGCATAAGAACTTCCAATGTTTTTTTTGCCAAATTTGAAGTCGATAACTGCATTCTTATGCTCAGGAGAATGTTTACAAAAGGCGGACAGACGGACATGTTTAAATCAATTCAGAATTTGATGCTAATCAAGAGTGCTGTATGCTTTATTGGGTCCCTGAAACTGCCTTCTGGACGTTGCAAACATTTCGAGAAAATGAATATACCCCTCCATCCTTGGATGATAGTATTTTATGGCGGAAATATGCACAAATATGTGTTATAACACATGATGAATGCATAAGTGTTTATATATTATTTTGACGCGATAAGGTTTAGAAGATAAGCTTTGAAATATAAAGCATTGAATTAAACGGTTTTATTAAAACTTTGCTTTATATATTTAGCTAAATTTGCAAAAAGTGTATGTGTGTTTGCATTTTTAAGAACAGTTTGGATTTATTAGAAGAAAATCTGCGATTTCAAATTTTTTTTATGTATTTCATCTTTTTCTTATTTTGTTATGTTATTATATATAGCCTTTACAGACATAGATATTAAGACAAACAATCATAGATGACAAGGTATTTTATCCACAACGACGAATGGAAATGACTTACTATTAACTTGTGAAAAAATGCCTCACATAAGTTATTGGTAGACAATTGGCTTTTCTTCCTTTGTTGTTGTTGTGTGATTAAGTTACAGGGCACGTTACAAGTGTTTTGTGGTACAACCAGTGATTTGTAATTTGCTGATGAAATTTTAAATCTTAGATATGTTAAATTGATCAGAAATATTCCTACGAATTCCAACATCATTGTTTCCAAATCCAACCAAGCATTTTTAATGCCTTGTCCCGTCAAACATAACGCTTACAATGCAGATCAAGTACAAAGTGAAAAAGTTGTTGATAACGTTTGGCATACGGTTGAGATTACCTCAAGAAATTTTAGCTCAAAGATCGTGTATGCCACTTGGATTCGTTGCGTCGCTCTTATAATGCTTTTGCGTGTACTTGCTTTACCGTTTGCTATTTCCAAAGTTCAACACAACCTCGAACGGATACAATTTTGCCTACATTATAAATTGGAGACAATAAGCCTGACCATATGAAAATAATTGTCAAGTTTTCAGTAACCAACAGTAAAAAAAAAATTACTAAAAATGGATACATGGATGGACAACAATTTTAACAGAAGACTTGCATATATTCATAAAGATCGCGTTACCTGAGTAAGCAGGTAGTAAAAACTTTCAAACTTGTCTGATTCAAAATCTGTGTAGTTATGTTTGGTGGGTGGAGATCTTAAAACTACGATCCATTACATTCATGAAATTAAGATAGGGAGAGGCATAGGCGTAGGTTAAACAAGATTAACCATTACAAGTGTAGTTAATTGTGAGATCAAAGTAAAGGATTCCTCAGCTCAGGAAAGCTCAGCATTTAATTTTTCCGCAAGATTTGCAGGAAATTGGTTAAAACTTGTGAGAGGAAAGGCACACACAGCGTACAGAAACTTTTTTTGTGAAAAAAAATCAAGACTTGTCCACTGATCACTTATTAACGTTAATAATCCGGTCGCAATAACCCACACTGCTGGGGTAACGAAAATATGTAATACATTCCGGGAACAAATCGAAAAATGATTGTTGCCACGAAGCAACAAAAAAGGCAGTTAAGAGGAACAAACTTGTTGGTGTAGCAGTTGGCATACATTTATATAACATTCGTCGTCGGGGCTAATCAGATTACAATTTACTTTGAAGTTTCAGTAAAATTACACTTGGCCGTGATAGTTATTGGCACTGGACTATAATCACGGAATCTTGGGGTCTTGAAAAAATCTTTAATGAACGCTATAGATGAAATGTCAAATTGCATGCAGCATTTTTCTCGCACACGCCATTTTTTTGCAATAATTTGCAAAATTATAGGTGAACAACTTATCTAAAAATACTTAAGATGTGATGATGTTTTCTTTATTCTGGAATCGTTCTCTATGGTAAATGGAATAAAGCAATATAATCGCAATATATCATATTCAATTGAAATATGCAAGCAAGTTAGATGATGGTCGCTCTCTTGTAATATGCATGCTATACTAGCTATGCTATGTAGCTATATTGTCGAGATTCATTAAATCTATCTATACATCTATCACATTGCTTATGGACAAACAAGCATGTGTGGTCATTATGTATGAACGGATTGTTTAATAAAAAAAATTTCTTTTTTATCATTTGTCCCTGCATCTTAATTGAGATGCGTTGACCTAGTAGTATTCATGAAATATGGAAGACAAATGGGCGCAAAATTTCAATTGATATCTTAGCGTTGGCCTTGTGGTTGCTTCGTTTTCATAATAAAAGCAAAAAAAAAAAAAAAAAAAAAAAAAAAAAAGTTTTTTTAATAATATTTATAAAAAAAAAAAAAAAACGAAAAAATTTATAATAATTAAAAAAAAAAAAAAAAAATTTTTTTTTTTTTTTTTTTTAATACATACAAATTTCAATTAACTGGAATAGCAACAACAAAAAAATTGTAATTCGAGTACGAATTACAAAATTTTGCAAAATATTATACAATGAACTTGGAATTGGAAATTTAAAAAAGTAGACGCACAACAAACTTCAAGAATGAAATCAAAGAATGAATCATCATCATCATCATCATCCGTTATATACTTTTGTTTAATTTTTTTTTTTTTTTTTAGTAGCTCAAGGATATCTTAAGCGGAAAACTGTGGCGCGTTTATGCTTATGGATTCATACATAATATACATAACTATGCACAAGTCTATGATTGAAATAAATTAAAAAAGAAAAAAAATTACACACTTACTACAGGCAAACACCGAAATCAATTTTTTTGCACTTTATTTCTATTTTCTGCGATATTAGACGAAAGTGATTTCCTTCTCACTACACGTTCGTAAGGAAATAAGAAAATAAAAAATTATTAGAATGCAACGATCCAAACGATCCGACAACCTACAATGAACTAATTTAACAGAATAATAATGATCAACACAACATGTACAGAATTTGTACTGAAGAGTCAGTCAGTCCAGGCATATGCAATAATACATAATGTATATACATTATATATATATATATATATATGTGTATGTATGCATGTGTCTGAATTCCATGATTGCAAAACATAGCGGAATGAGTTAAGAATCTTTAAATTTTCTTTTTAGCTTTTTTTTTTTTTTTTTTTAAAGAAGGGGTGGAGTACGTTATACTACAACGGCCGATTATTATGAGAGAGAGAGAGAGAGAGATATGTATGCAATAAAAGAAAACTTGAACTATTATTGTAAATATACAAAATAATAAAACTCAATGCAAGAATGGTTTATATTTCGGGAAAATTGCAAAAAAAAAATAAAAAAAAAAAAAAAGTTCAAGAAAGTATGTAAACCATATATGGCTTATGTTTTGAACTGAAATGAAGCAAACCTCGCATAAGAATGTATGTTAAGTGAATGCGAAATTTATTTCGTTCAGTTAAGCGGTAAGCGCTTATTGCGCTCATTGCGTTCATGTCTTCTCTAATTATTTTTCCCGAGTTCCTAAAACAAAAAGTTATCGACTTTGAAGCTATAATATTAAAACAAAATGGCGATATGTTCTCACTCGTGAAGATTCGTTCTTTCGTTCTTGCTGTGTGTCCGCACTACAACACTAACTAACCTAAAAATATGATTCGAACGCAATCTGTAGAACGAAGAATGAAAGGATTTTCCAATAAATTAAAATTTACGAAACTTTCGATCAATTTTTAAGAGATTCAAAAAAAAAGGCTCGAAATCGGAAAATTATAGAATTGTTTATTTAGATGCAGACAGACCAGGATGTAAAAAAGAAGCTTCTTTTGCTTCCAAAAATGTGAAGAAAACATTTTTTTTATATGTTTTATACAATGAACTGTACCTTCATACCTAAATATCTCAACATAAATAAATTTTTTTATCACGGGCCGAAGCGTGTATGTCCAGCTAATAGCTTGTTTGGTATACAGGAAGTGCAAGCATTTTAGACTTTAGCAAAAAGAGTAAAGGGACAAGGAGGAGAGTGAGTTAATGAAGTAAGTTAGCAGATTCCCAAATGTGAGCATCATTGTGCCAAAGTGAAAAATAAATATAGTAGAAAAGAATGATCGAAAGAAAATGAACACAAACTATTGGGCCGCGAATGGATGTAGTTGTTGGATTTTTTTTAATTTTATGGGCATGCAAAGGAAGACTAAACGTGAAAGACGCACTAATACGAAGCATAATGCACAGTATAATAACTTTTATCGCAAGAGAGATATTTTTATATAAACTACAAACGAACCTCGAACCACCCTTTTCGAAGCACTTTAAGCCATTAAGCCAATTATGCCCGAAGGACATAAATCTTCTTTAAATCTTTAACATCAACATTCCTAAGATGAACTTGTTAACATGTATCGCGTTGCAGATATGTTTCCATCGGTTTGACATTTAATTTTCCTATTGTTTCTGTCGGATCTAATCTAAAAAAAGCTTCTATCACATTTCCGCATATGACAAGGGCATTCGATTTTATTAACCAAAAAAATCAAGGCTTCCGGGCACCTGGCAAGGGACCTTACACCTGGCAAGGGACCTTATTTAAATCATTTAAATATGTAAAAAAATGAATATTTTGCAAGGATTTAAAGGAAAAGTTTTTAAAAAAAATTTTTTTTCAACATTTACATACCTAATGTGCAAAACTTTACTTTATATTTAATTTATTTTGTTTTCAGATTGACTTCATCAAAACAAAGATTGTTCGCAAATGTATTCCGTGGTAAGTGTTTTCAAATTTTCATATATCTCTTAATTACATTTTATTGGATAACTGAAATAAATATATGATTCGAATGCATTTCAGTACCGATTGAAATTTAAATACAAATTTCAATTGAATCGATTCGTATATTACCCAAATTGAAAATTGTATTGATTGATATTAATTTCCTTCCAATTTTTGAACTGTAAAAACAAAGTGAAACAACGATACATAGGCATTGAATGCCGCCTCTGATACCTATATCTCTCTCTTCGCGATTTCAGACTTATTACATATATAAAGGCAATACACTTTCTCTCTAATATAAATTATATATATATATATATATATATGATCACGATAATAAAATGAAAATTGAATTCTTACCTGTAATCACGAACAAAACTTTTTCTGAAGGGAGACGTAGTTGAGAAAAGAATAGGCACTAATAAGAAAAATACATAAAAAAAAAAGGATTTTTAAAGAAAAAATTAAAAAATAAATGATTAAATTAGTCGAGTACGGCCGACCAATTATTAACCTACACCATCGCAAATCTTCATCTCAGTAGAAAGGGAAAGATTTTATATATAAATAGGATAATTTCATAGTCAGTACATATTTAAGACCGATATTGATAAAACATATAGGTGTTCAAGATTTCCTTTATCGAAAAGAAAATAAGTTTGCTTTAGAGCAAGAATCAGATGCAAGTCTTTTTAAGCGATTTTTGTGTTTATAGACGGTACGAGCTCGTTCGTACTACCGAGTGTTGATGGAAAGAAAAGTCTTCTTTTTTTTTTTTTGTAATAAATATATAGATGTGTTATTATATAACATGCTGATGGCTTTTTATTGACTCGCACACTACGTTAAATTTATAGGAAAACAAAGAAATGTATAGAGAAGAGCGCTTTTCGTGGTGTAAGCTGCAATTAAGTATAAAATATAAAGTAGAAATTGTTAGTTGTGTGTAAAATGTAAATTGAAGTAAAATGAAGTAAAATATAAAATAGTCTTGAGTTGAATATATATGAAATCGTTCACCTTACAACATTTATAAGCTAAAAAAACCGAACAAATGTAATTAGTATACTGCGTAGTAGTTGATTTTCAGTTTTTTCTTCTTCTTCTTCTTTTTCTATTTTTATTAATCTCATTTAATAGACAGCATTGGTCTTGAAACAGTGAAGATTAATATCTCAAAGATTTTTTTTCCATTGGAGACGAAATTTTAAACGAATGGTGTCCAATGATTGATGAATAAAGCCCAACTACTGTTATAAGATCTCGGACTTTTTTTTTGCTTTAGTTTCCATAAAATGAATGGCTTTTTGCTGCCACCTATCTGAGCTGACTGAATGTTATAGAAAGATAGTACTGGATGGAAGGGATAGGGACATATTTTTTTCTATGCAAAATGCAAACCTTCTGCCTAAGGTTTATAATTAACTTTCGAGGAATTTTGGAATTCGCACAAAACAGAGTCGAATTTTAATAAAGTCCTTGTGCTCTTGCAATTTTCGCAGGGGAATTTTATTTATTCGTGCGACATCTTTACGCCTAGTTGGGCGCCAACTTATTCGAGTTGTTTCGTCCAGTTCGTTTATAAACTTTTTTTGAAAGTTCGGTATATCATATAATTAGGTGCCGGTCTTACAAGAATATAAAAAATGTTTTTGTAGAATTAAAAAGAACAAATACTGTAAAATTTAATACACATACATACGTAAAGATTATTAAAACTTAATCCATTCTATGAGGAGAAATTTGAAGATTATATCTGAAATTAATAAAACATAAAACTACGCTTGATAAAAAAATATACATATTATCATCGTGCCTGTAGCAATTATCAGGTCTGTAATAAAGTTTTGAGGAATTTTTCTCTTTTACTAAAACTGAATATTTGTATTAAAAAATGTAATCAATCTATTTTACTCTAACTGCGATCAATCGATAGATATAACCCGTTTCCTAAAGCTACGTACAAATAATTTATGCTTTGATCCCCGCAATAACTGCACGGGAGGGCCTGCTTAGATGTGTAATTACGGAGGCTCAATGTATGTTTAATCCGATAGCGGCACCATAATGTTGTCAACTACTTCTGCCCAATCGATATTTGAGCTCATCACCTCATTGCTGAGGTTTAGAACTGACTTTTTCATGGGATTTCTTGTTCGTAACAGAAATTCATATGCTTCTAAAAGAAGCATATTTCTTCGAAATTCGAAACAATTCTCTATCTAATGGTCTTCTTTGAACATACAGTCAGTTTAATATATTAATTGCTTAAGAAAACCTATGCTATATAGTAAGATAAGATAAAGATAAGATCTAAACACAGTGTTTTAACGGGAACTAGTTGCAAAGTTATTCAAAACGTAATACTATTTATTAATTAGGACCACTCCTGTAAATACCTCAAAATTTATTATAGACCTTATATGTTAAATCATACCTAAAATTTATTAAATATGTATATACTGAAAACGAATGTTACCCATACATACATATAAAGAATAATTAAAAAATTTTAATGTAAATTATTTTATTTTATTTAAAATTGTCATTAAAGTAAAAGTTTACATTTACCATAAATAAAAGATTAAGGAAAGCGGTCTACATAACTTTTCGATAAATTTAGTGTACAATTACATTTTCTATATATATATATATATATAGTTGAAAAAAGTTGACTTAAAGAAAGATTTAGATTAAAAAAAAAAAAAAATTTTTTTTTTTTTTTTTTGTTAATTAGGCATATTGTTGATAAAACCGTAAACATATGGTACTATCATTCACTCTAGCAATGCATACATAGCAATGCATTTTCATTTTGTAAGATCTAATATTTTATGTTCAAAAGTGGAAAAAAATTTCATAATTATAATAATAATAATAATAAGTCAAAATATTTTAGCTGCGGGTAAAAGTTAAAAACTTAAAGTTAATACATATTTATTTTGCTTTGCTTATTTTATTTCTAAATAATAAATATAAAGTAAATAAATGTAAATAGTATCTGTGATCGTAGGAAGTAAATGTTCAAGAATTTATGAACATTTTTATAAAAAATTTATGGAAAGACAAACTCTTTTTTTTTCTTTTTCTTTGTTTTTTTTATGACCAAACAATAGGAAAGACAAATTGCACTCACAAAATTCATTACATTCAGCCAAATTATATTCTGATCACAGATTACCTGACAGCTTCTTATGCTAAGTGATGCCGATTTCAAAAACTTATTTATAAATTTTCATTAGATATCTAATTAAAAATAACTTATGCATAGATAGAAAAAAAAAAAAAAAAAAAGAAATGAATTTTCAGTTAACCTTTTATTATTTACCTTTCTTGCTTTTGCTTTCTTTTTTTTTTTTTTCTTTTCTTCTTCTTTAAATACATACAGATTTAGATTTAGTTTAGTCAAACTAGACTATAGAAAGAATATTGTTTTAAATTACGTTATTCTGCTAGCTCTTCTTTAATTAATTTATTTCATTGCTTTAATAAGAGTTCTTATTAATTTGAGCTTGTAGCATACCTAAATTAAGAAGAAAATAATAATATGTTTATGGCTTTTAATATATTTAAAAATTTAATTTATATTGTATGTGAATTCATTATAAATGATATAAGAGAATTTTAAAACATTCTTAGAGAGGATGATATGCGACTTTTTTTATAGAGAAAAAGTGATGCGAGTTTATTGCTATCAGCATATATATTTTTTTTTTTTTTACAATCGAACACTTATTCCCTGCGTTTATGCGCAAATTTTCCTCACGAAAAAAGGGGGAATATTTACTCAACTAAAACCGTAAATCGTTAAAGTCGATGTACCGAGCATTAACGATCATATATAAAATTGATTATAAGCCAATGAAAACAGAAAGTTGAAAGAGACTGAGATTTCAGTGCTTCCATATGTCACATTTTGCTTTAGGATATGAAGACGAGAACCAGTTAACTGATTTGATAAGATAACGTGTTGTAGGAAAGATTGAAATTTTCCAAATTCGGTAGATTTTACGATATTCCAAATTCCAATCTCAAAAACGAACTGTTTTCCCGTTCTTTTCTCTTACTAAAAAATTATATTTTTCTTTAAAAAAAAAAACAAGTGGACCGAAAAAGTGACATCATCCCAAGGAGAAAATGTTAACTATCGTTGTTATGCTGCTTCACATCTTTAGGAAGTAAACGTTATATCCGATTTGGGGCAAAATTTATATACCAGTTAGCCACTTCCAAACTTGAAACGAACGTCTCAGTGTACTATGTATTAAAGAGTTGTGGCTCATAGAGAAAGCAAATGAAAAAATTTACAAGCGTTTTTCCTAAATGTGAACGAACAAAGGAACTCATCGATACACTTAGCTGACTTTCGAAATCAATGAAAGGTACAAGAAAGTCACCACAGCTGTTTTGTAGTCATGATTTCCACTTGCGGACCGCGGACTGTTTACGCCGATCACGAATATATATTGTCTTATGTGGCTCCTATGCGTATTTCAATGTGTTAAAAATCTTTATTAAATCAAACTACACACACCACATTTGCTAGGTAAAGAAGTTGAAATAAGTTTCCCTTTAGTATTTATATAATTAGGCCTTTCCTTTCCCTTGTTTAATATAACACGCAAATGTATTTGTTCCCATAACACAAGATAAGAAGGAAAATTGTTACTGAAACGAGTCTGAAGGATACTTTTCTAATTTCTCGACTGCTATTCTTTACTTCTTTATATCGCAACCACTTTACCCGATCAAATTAAAATATTATAAAGGCGAGCATTTCAAAAATATTTCCTATAATGTCGTTCGTTATTTGCTTTAAACTTCTTCTATAAAAAATTCCAATTTTCTTTTGCGTATTTTAGTATAAAATTCTTAAAAAAAAAAAAAAAAAACTTTATGCACTAATATATTCTTTACGTTATTTAATTGCAAACAATTATTCCATATAGTGAAGGTATATTTCTAGCTTACCTTTGTCTTCTTCAGAACATTCATACATTTCGAAGCCAATTTTAGCGACGATATTTGTTGTTGCTTGGAGCAGCAGCTACGCCTGAATTTCCGTTTGCCATAGGTTGGGATATTGGGCCAGGACCATTAGACGGCGGATTGCCGTTTGGTGGCCCACCAGTATAGCCGCCATAAGCTTGTGGAATTTATATATTATTAGTTACTACAAAAAATTTCTACTAATTCAGTCATCTTTTTTTTTTTTTTCAATACCGACAACAAAAGCCTGTGCTTGTTGCTCTTTAATTTTAATATTTAGAGGAAAGGCTTTTTTTGCATTAAATTACTTACCGTAATTATTGTTATTGTTGGGTGGAACATTGTAGGGATTCATACGGTTTGAACTCATATTACTTTGATGTTTAGTTGGACCACCGCCATAATTTTGCTGGTAGCCTGTGCCGAAGTTTGGTGGTGGTGGTGGTTGTTGTTGTGGTTGTTGATGCGCCGGTGGACCTGCAGCCGGTGGTGGTGGTTGTTGCCAATTAGGCGGCGGCTGTGTACCGGGTGGGGGTATATTGTTTGGAGGCATAGTACCTGGAGCGGGGGGACCTGCTACCGGAGGTGGACAACCCCATTGATTATTATGCCATGCAGGTGGCATTTGCTGCATATTTGTGGGTGGTGGTGGAGCATTCCAATTAGTTGGCGCCGTTGAATAATTCCAACTAGGCATTTGTTGTGAAACTGGAGGCATAGGAGGCTGTTGATAACCGCCATAGTTCTGATGGGGCATTGCCGCTGGCGGTGGTCCCCACTGATTGTAATTCGGCGGCGGTGCTTGTTGGTAAGGCGGCATTTGTTGAGGCTGCACTGGTGCTCTTTGATTTGGACCGGGTGGCATATTATTTGGAGGTTGACGTCCATTTCCATTAATGCTATTTTTCTGATCTTGCATTTTATTTCCCATATTTTGCTTCTGAATATTCTTTTTCTGTAGCTCTTGGTTATAAACAGATTTTTTCACGTCTACCACCACATACTTAATGGAATGAGTTTTCCGTACTACGTATAGATGTATAAAAATTTAAGCACTTTTCTTTTTTAAACACATTATTATTATTAGTTAAAACACTTACATATAGCTTTATCAACAGCATCATAATCGTCGAATTCTACAAAAGCAAATCCTCTACGTTTTCCGGTAGTTTTATCTGTAAGTATTTTGATTGAAACCACTTTACCAAATTCCGAGAAATACTCTGTTAAACAAGATTCATCGTGGTTATCTTTCAATCCACCTACAAAAAGTTTCTTTACTGAAAAATTCTTATTTTCGGAGGCTTCACGTTCTGGGCGTGGTAGAGCACGTTTAGCTTCTACAGTCCTGTGCATAAATATTCAAAAAGAGATATGTAAATAAAATATATTAAATATTATACGGAAAAAACATACTTTCCATCAATGACATGTGGACGATTCTCTTGAGCTTTATCCACCATATACGACTTGGTGTAGGTTATGAAACCGAAACCTCGAGACCGTTTAGTCATATTATCCCGCATAACAACAACATCAACCACTTTACCCCATTGATTATAAAATTCTTTTAAACTTTCCTCCGTAGTATAAGAGGCCAAGCCACCAATAAACAGTTTACGTAAATGCTCTAATTCACATATATCCTAATATTAGAATTATTCATAATTGATGTATGAAGGAAAATTACAACTCTATTTACATCACTTCCATCGCTCTCTACCTCCGCTGCGTGATCATGGTCCTGGTCATTCTCTGGTTCTGTTTTTGTCCGAACGTTTTCCATTTTTTTTTAATAATTAACAAAACTGTGAAATTAATAATAACTTGAACTCTTCTACACAAGGAATAAAAATCGCGTTCGACCGAAAAATTTTCTGTATCCAACAAAATGGAGTATGTCCGCTTTAGTTGGTTATAATCATTACATAAGGTATTGCCATGTTTTCGAAATATATATTGATTTTTGGTGCAGCTAGTTAAATGTAACGCTGCATTAGATAATAATAAGGCTGTGTGCATCATTTTAATTTTTATGTCAATTTTGTAAAAATTGCTGTAACAATATTTGTACAACCTGCGTATAAGATTTAGACACATCAGCGCCGGAAAAAATTGAACGTATTTTGAAAGTAGTTAGCGAAAACCGAAATATAAAAATATTTGATGAAGCACAAGTGGGTAATTCACGAAATTCACATTTCACTACAGACGTACTTCATCTATGACTGGGGTTTGCTTTGTACAAAAAGTAGTCCTACAAAATTAATGATTGCTTTTTAAATGTACAAACCGATTCGTTAAGAAATTTGATTTCAGCCGAAATTATTGAAATACCTGATATCGCGAAAATACTTTTACAGCAAATGGAGTTTCAATATTCTACCTGGATATTACATTACTAATGATAAATGAAAAGTCGATTTCCAATATCATTTTCTGGATTACGTATTGTTGTTCTGAATGATGATAATTCCTCGAATATCTAATTGCAATAAAAAAAGTTAATATTTTAATTGTATTATTGAAAAAATATAAGGCAAAGAAATTGTTGGTCAAAAGGAAATAACAACTATTCGTTTACGTTTTCAAAAAAAACTATATTTAGTAATACCATGCTTGCTTACTTTATTCCTCGGCAATTATTAAATTTTTTACCAAAATTAATGATTTTTCATAGAAAAGACAGGAAATAAGATGGAGACAAATATTGCAAATAGATGAGCCATTGATTTGCTTACTACTGCAATCTTTTCCTACAAAACCCCATGGAAATTAATAGCGAAATCCGTTCAGTGAACTTAACCATTTGACTAAATTCAGGACCCATACATTCAATGGCATAGCGGCCTGTGCCAGTACGCCTTAGCGGCTATTAATAAAATAGCTATTGAAACTTTTTATCTACAGAGTTCTAAACAACCCACTTGATGACATCCATAAAATATCTTTTTTCAATTTTGTCGTTTTTTTCAATCTTTATTTAAGTTGGCATTACTTTATTAAACAACAGTCTTTGAAAATGAAGGACAATAATAAACTAATAGACTTTTCGATGAACTTAGATACTCATTTTTTCGGCTTTAAATCAAAATTAAAATAATTAAGAAAATGATTTTCCTTTACGTGCTTTTTCTTATGCTCTTGCTGATATGAAGTGTGAAAAATGAAAAACTCATCAGTTTAATATCCGCGCATTCATCAAACCCCAGATTGCAAAGTTGAGCAGCTGATTTGATACCAGTCTGATGGCAGTTGAAAGAATTTTGTAATCATTTTGCAAGATAACGTAAACAGCGAATGGAATACAACATTTGAGATTGGTACGTAAGTTTCAATATTTATTTGGTCAAGGATATTGACGAAAGGATGTAAAAATGTTTAAACTGCATCGCGAAGGAGTAGCCTGTGTATGCAGTGCATACCAATTTCTTATGTATTATTGCAAAACAAAGTTATGTTATCGAAATGTTATCTTGAAATAGTTGTAACATTTTTCTGGGGCTTAAGCAACTGTAAGATGTGAAAAGTATAGCATACAACCAGAAAAGTATAGTATGTGATTCGGGCAAAATAATAATAGGTTATGTGGAAAAAATTGAAAATTAAAACATTACACCTTAAACTCAACAAGTGTACGTAATCCGACGATTATAGTAAACTTTCTCTGCATAGTGGATTTTAAAAACATATTTGCTAGGCGTTACAACCGTTATTCGGCTTATTTTCAATAAATGTTAAAAGACACCTTTATCGCATGCGAAATATGTTTTAAATAAAGCAACAGAAGAATATGGCATAGATATATATGCATACACATATAAATTAAGAATGTGTAAAAAATACGAGGATTCTGTTAGCCTTACAAAAAAATTTTAATTGGTTTTATGTTAGCCTCCGAATTATTTGTCTTAAATTTTAAATCAATGTCTACTGCTATTTATAACATAGTATGAGCAATATACGGCTCTCTCTGAACAATTAAGTATGCAAATAATCCTAAAGGAAATTGCGTAAGAAATAAAATTTCGTCTATTTACGTTATGTATGAATTTTTGCTAGTTCGGATAGCTGTCGGACAGATTTAAATGTCATTTGAATATTATATAATACAAATATCCCACAGGTGGGAGCGCATCCAATTAGGCTGCGGGCAAGCAGTTTTGGATCTTACTCGGTTGTCCCGCTTTGTTTTCTTTTCTACCGTCATCCCTCCTATATTATCGCAGCATAATTCGACTCCTTTTATTATCAAATTCAGACGTGCTATCCGTACGTGTTGATATTCGTGATTTAGTTGGTCTTCACTTTGTCTATGCTTAAGACAACATATACAGCAAGTTTGTGATTTTTTTCGTACCATTTGGACTAAGATATATACACATAAATACATTTTTATATTAACGCTCCTTTACATATATTACGTAAATTTATTTATATATTTTCGTCTGAGTTTATTCATTTTATTTTTATATTTTTTCTATTTTATGTAAATTTATACATTTATACATGTATATTTTTATACTCATCGAAGTATGGAGCAGTATTGTATTCATTTTGGGAAGACGTATGCAACATCAAGGAGGAAACTTTAGAGATCCCATAAATATATAAACACTCAACCCTGTTTTACACGATAGATATATTGCTTAGAAAACCAAAGCAAAAAAAAAAATCAAAATTCAGTGTAGAGTGAAAATTCAGTCCATAAGTACAACATATAAACATTTAAATTGAACTTAGGAATGTAAATCATCACTACTTGATAACAAATGTGCACGTTCATTACGAATTGTACACTCTAACGCAAAATAAATACTGAATAACGAAATGCCTTGTCCAAGTTGAAGTACAACGAGATAAAGAAAAGTGTGTTCATATAGTCCGGATATTCTCCGTAGTAGGCCGAGTCGCTAACAAAGTCAAGATTAAAATTCAAAACAAATTTTATGGCTGGGATCCGTACTAGATGAAAAAGTTCATGTAAAAATGTCTATTTATTCTTGTTGATGGATAGGGTTAATTCAAAATCAACATTATTTAAAGAAAAAACCGTCCAAAGAAGAGTATAAACATTAAATTTCTTGAAAATCTGAAGCCGATATCTTCATTTTTATGTTTATGAAATAAAAAAAAAAAATACATATCTAGCATAATGGCTCGTCGATAGCTGGTATAGATCCGAGTTGGGTGTGAACTCCTAAGCCATGGTGTGAACTCCTAAGCCATGGGAAACATGCAAAGGCTTGACAATCGATACAATGTTTCATTTATATACGATGTAGGCAAGGCGCGTTTATTCAGAAAAGATGATTTCTCATATTAGGTGTTTGCAAAAATGTTGATCACTTTTTCACTTGAAAAACTTGAAAAAAAAAAACGTTGAAACTTACTACAATTTTTATTAATCAAAATAGTTTTCATCATTTTCTACAACATTTTACAATATTTTTGATAACATGGCTATGTCATGTCGAAAGAATTTATATTGGCTTGGCAGCGATCCATCTACCGATCCATTTTCGCACTCCTTTAACTTTGTGAGCCCGCATGCCAGCCGAGCCATACTGCATCGATCTGAACAAAAGTTAATGAGGAGGCGCCAAGAGGACTCTGGCGAGTACGCTGGGTGTGGCAGAACTTAAAGCATCTGATATTGAGCGTAAATTGTAGATATCATCTAAATTTTTGCGAATTGTGTTGAAAAAAGAAAAGAATTCCAAATTAAAGCAAATAGGACAACTCTCTCTTTGATTGTATAGTGACCTTGCCTTGAGAGGAACGTTCTCCAGATATTTTACTTTTCTAACCATTGGTTGGGTAAGAACATTTTTCGGTACTTTGTGAAAGCAACAAACAAGAAGCGTACAAGAAGCGTTCAGCCAGGCTTCTTCTTTCTTGCTGAACTGTTAGCTGTGTGAGGCATATAAGTGGCCTCTTCTGCTTCTCCTTGCCCTTTTTAAAATTTTTCCAAGCATGCAAATACCACGTTTAATTTTCTACCATCATTTTTGAAAGATTGGTAAGCAGAGATATAGACATATTCATGGACTTTAGTGACCCTTCAGAGATTAGGCAGATTAGGACATTTTTGAGGTCTCTCTTGCTAGTTTTTAACGCTAACTCTCCCAACCATGTCATTGGTTATAAGAAATTGGTTTGGTATTGTACGAAAGCACCTTCGAATATCTGCAATCAAATTTCCTATACTTATTTTAGTTTTGTAAATGCTGGCGACATATATTTCTAGAAAAACTGATTTTTTTTGATTACATTTATTCGCAAAAATGAAGCTAGAAGGTGAAATTAATTGCAAGCATTTCGTGATCTATTAAGAATCCAAGGTTAAAAAATGCTTTTGATCTACATAGATACGTACTCGCAAAGACAAGTTCGAAAAAATATAGCTTTTTCACATTTTCGTAAACTTTCGGTCTTCTGAATATATATTCGAAAACCTGCGATCCAAATATTTATCAGGATAATCTTCATGTCTAGCTCAAAAATAGTCGCGATCGGCTTACTAATACGTCCGCAAATTAACTATGGTAATTCGATAAGAAGTGGCTATCAAAAAGATTCCTTTTCGTTGAAGACACCCGCCAGTTCTGGTGTTAAATTTTGTAAATTATATAACAATTATTCTGAGCAATATCATAGAGACATTGAAAATTGTTAGGTTAGGTGAAGGTTTTTTTTTATACAAACTTGATTTATAATAATGTATTAGCATTGAAGGATTTTAATGAGATTCTCCGGAATACCATACCATATTTGATAGAAAGCCAAAAAAAAAAAAAAAAGAAGAGAAACATTGCTTTCTCTTCTGATGACAACGACAACAATACCGCAAATACCGCTGATAGTATGACCCTCAAGATACGTGCATAAGTTTGAACATTTTATGCCCATAAGGAAAATATTAAGCAAATTCTTCAATTTCGAGTTAAAAATACAAAAGAAATTTTTAATTTGTCTTAGAAGAGTAAGTCTTTTCCACACTTATCTTAAAAATCTACCTTAAATAATAAGAAAATACCTCAAGCGTGTAAAAGTAACAAAAGTTGCGAAACAATGGACTAAATGCGTACGTGTTTTTGATTAATTTCTTTTTATTTTGAAGAAAATTTTTACAGTAAAATCCAAAAAAGGTATGATTTTAATTATTAAGTGTATATATATACATATACATATTTATCTCAACAACTATGTATACGTATATGTTAACATGAATTTATAAGACTGCTAAACGGAGTTGAAGCGATATAATGGCTTCCATTGTTGCTGTTGTTGGTGGCGAGTGAATGATCGTCTTTATGATGAAAGCTATGAATGTTGTTGTAGTTAATGTTGTTGGCAATAGTGATGTTATTGATGGCCTCTATTCGTGTTACGGCGCTATGTGGAGTTTTTGTCCCTGCATCAATACTAGGAATTCTAGACTGAGTTGCTATCAGGTTATTCGTATTAATTGTTGCCGATTGACTTGCATTCGAAGATATTAAACTATTTGTTGATTTATTTACATTCTGCGTTATAGCCGTTTGCTGTAACTGTTGATGTTGATAGAAATTTTGTTGAAAATTTGTTATCATTGCCGGTGAGTAAGGAGTTTGTCCTATTATAGAGGTCATAAAACCGTTCGCCACGACAAAGTTTCTGGGAGAAAAGTAATTGAAATAAGAAATTTTCAAATTTCAAATTTCCAAAAAAAAAAAAGGAAGAAAATTATATTCGGTCGTGACCGATCCTTTTATACCCATCACCGTTATCCCAAAAATGACGAAAAATGCTTTATAATTTGGGGTGGGCGTGGCTGATTTTTTTTTTTTTTTTTTTTGATTTTCATAACAAAAGCTTCTCTCACATTCTCGTACTGGCGTTGTAGGCGATATCTTCATTTTGGCGAACAAGAGAATGTTTACTACAAATATTACAGAGTTGCACAGACAGGCAGAAAAACGGATGGACGGATGGATGTCTAGGTCGATTCTAAATTTGAAGCTGGCCAAGAATTTATATACTCGATGGGATTTTTGAAGTTTATTTCTGCGCCTTACAAAGGTATTGACAGAAAATTAAGTTTTGTTGCACTATAGCATTATTTTAGTACAGTTGTTATAGCATCGCTCAAAGAAAATGCTTTCCAATTTTTTGCATATTTAGGGGGAATGAGTAAAAAATCAATTTTTTATTCCTTTTGTAAAAGAGACGTGTTCTCGTTCTTAGTTTGCATGGTGCTATGGATGTGTCCTTCGACCGGTTTGGCGACCTATTTTCAATATCAAGAACGTCCAATGTTTCTGAAAAACTTGAATTCGATAATTTAAATTTTTGCGGCCAGGAGAATATTTACAACAGACGGACAGACGGACATGATGATATCGATTTAGAAGTTGATGCTGATCAACAATATATATACTTTGTGGGGATCTGTGATATTGTCTTCTGGGCGTTGTAAACGTTCATACTCCTCATGCTTCTGTGATGAGTATAAAAAGGTAGTGTTACAGGTAATAAAATATTGATAGAGAGACGAAGAGATTGTGAGAGTACCACGACTCCACTATTTCTATTTACTTACCTATATTGCTGATCGATTTGTGCTTTTTCAATACGTTTATCTTTGGCACGACGATTTTGAAACCAGATTTTAATTTGTGTTTCCGACAGACATAGCGCATCAGCCAATTCAAATCGTCTGCTACGTGATATGTATTCATTACGATGAAATTCTACTTCTAAACGCAGCGTTTGTTCATTACTAAATGTAGTACGTTGACGGCGTTGTTGACGTTCTTTGCGGCGACGACGAGCCACTGAAATGTAATAATAATAAGTTGATGAAATTTTATTTTTTTTTTGGCGGACGTAAAAGCACAAAATAGCTCGTTGTGTAGATATTTAGACAAAAGTGAAATTAATCTCTATGAACAATGGAGTACTTTTCACACCATACGCTATAGCTTAAAAAATTTCAGAAGTAACAATAATAAATTATGCCTTCTCTATCCCTCTCTTTCTCTCTTTCTTTCTGTTCCTCTCTCAATACTTATGTATTACTTATGTATTAAGGAATGAAGGAGTAATTAAGTTCACGGAGAAAACTTAATAAAAAATGAAGTTTTTGCACACACACATTAGTGCAGAAGAAGTTAATGTAACGCCCGCACATCATTCATTCACTTGCAAAATCATCGAATGAGAATATTCATCTAATAACATTGTTATCCGGGAATTTTCACACAATGCGAACATCTGTTTGTTGCATGGTCGGTTTGCTTTTTTCTCCTCTTCTTTTTTTCTTCTTGCTGTCATGTTTGTGAGTTAGCGCAGTATGCACTTTAAATAGTGGATTGGGATTATATTGTCCTTTCCGTCTCGATTCCAATTTGCTTTTCAAATAAGGAACAGATTTTCAATAGCAGAGTGGTATTGTTATTGTTATTATTATTAATACTGATCAAGTTTATTT